AATCCTTGCTCCGGTTGTGGTTGGTAGGGTGAGAAAGACCGCAAAGTGAATGGCGTGCTCCATCATGTTCCCGGATAGTCCGTTTTCGCAGGTTCACATTAGGAAGCTGAGTAAAACGGGGCCTCATTCTTCCAACAGAACTTACTGCCTCCATGTACAGTTAAAACTCCTTCTTGTTTCGCATGTGTTATATTTTTGGCTTTCTCATTATTCCTTGTCTTATTTCTCGGGCTTCTGAAAATAGGAAAGGTCATCACTTTGCCGCCCCCAACGATTTTTTATTGTGGATGTAGAGCTAGGATGATGTGTTTATTCTCTATAAAATCTGATTTCAGGCCCACTTTGCATCGAAAAACGAGGTGCAGCTGTCTCATCGTTTTGACAGCTCATGCGAGCTAACGTCCAGATGTGGTAATGCGGTGGGAAGTCCACCAAAACCTGTGCAGAATGGACACTTGTTGATGAACATTCACCGATCGCTAACAGAAATCACTCTTTCCGTTCTATCTTGGAGCTCAGTCAGCAGATGCACAGCGGATAGAAACATATGCCGAAGAAAATTTCCTGGCAAAGACAAGGTAGACTGGAATGACAATCCCTGGCTCCTTAGACGGCATTAGCCAGTCATACTCAATCCTATGTGGTGCACAACCTGAGGCACGAACTCACGACTTTATTGGCTAAAAGTCAAAAGCTCTACCCACTGAGCTACGGCCTTGCTGTCTTGTCGGCTTAGATTTGGAGATATTGCGATCTATGAACTGGGGAATCGGCATCCCAAGAAGTATAATTCGGTAGAAGGAGATCCTTGGGAAACAGGGGTTTATTATGTTAATTTTCGGCACTGGCACACCAGGTGGTCGTCAGACGGTGGGAAATTGTACGAAACAGTTAATTCAAAATGATGGTTTACAGAAGCTTATATAGTGCGTAAGGTGCTAGTCCATAATCGTCACCCGCATGTGATTGCGCGGTAAGTGGGGGAAAATAGTTGTCCCCGCATGTAATTATGCGGTCGCTTGGGAACTATGTAATTGTCGACCGCAATTAATCGTGCGGGCGGTGGTGGCTGATTTTCGTTTCCTCTAGTCCGGGTTGACCGTCGTATCTTAGAAGCCATCAACTCTGACGACTCTTGCATTAACAGGCACGTTGAATTGGATGTGGTGTACACTAACCTCATGGAAGCATGGAAGAGACGACAGCCTACCCAGACTAGAGGAAACGAAAACCAGCCACCACCGACCGCACGATTAATTGCGGTCGACAATTAGTTCCCAAGCGACCGCACAATTACATGCGGGTGATGATTATGGACTAGTACCTTATGCACTATATAAGCTTCTGTAAACCATCATTTTGAATTAACTGTTTCGTACAATTTCCAACCGCCTGACGACCATCTGGTGTGCCAGTGGCGAAAATTTACACAAATAACCACTGTTTCCAAAAGATCTCCTTCTACCGAAATATTGAGATCTGTTGATAAACGCCCACTGATCGCTCACTGATTATCTATTTTTGCGACAGCTCTTAGCTGATGAAATAAAGGATAACAAAAAAATCGTTTACAAGATCAATAGCAAGTGATCACCCAACTGGGCGATAGGATTCAGTTGATTGCTCTGAAAATGAAGTTAAGGCACAAAACGACCTCACAAAAGACAAAACCCTTTGTTTATTAGTTAAATTGCATACAAAGAGGGTGTCATATGTGCACTGCCACAACTCAGCAAAGCGGATACTTCTGGCTTACAGGTTTAAATCCCGGGATTAGCCGCTCAAACCCCGAATGGAGAGATTTCGGCGAAGTTATATTAAGTCCATTTAAAGTTTCAAGTAAAAATATGAGGTAGTGAAAGGAAATTATGTATGAAGATGTTGTGGCATGCGAACAAAAAATAAAAGCATGAGATAGTAGTTTTAGGAACGAATATTTAATCACAAAATACAACAGAAAAGCCGAAGATAGGGCTTAAAAATCTGGGCTAGACCTTAAGGTGAATTTTTAACAAATCGCTTGCCGTTTAGCCATGGCATTCTCGGGTACACCAGTTTACTGCAGCAAAGGTAGCCAAAACCGTTCCTAAAGACTTCCGACAGGAGGGGG